CCAACTCAAAAACGCTTTGGCAGATCAGAACATAGGCTAGATACTGTGGTTTCAAATAAAAAGATAGAGTAATAAAAGTTTAGATCTGTATGTACCTTACAGTACACCAAGTGAATGGATGTTAAAAGCTCAGAGTTCAAAACCAGGAAGGTACACTGTAATCATCTTTTATGAAAAGCCCACCTCACACCTGGCTAGCATGGATGTTTCTGCAATGCAGTGACCATCAAAATAAGCAACATCACAGATGTTAAGTGCATTCTTACTGTGTTGTGTCTTGGCACAAAAAATCTGAGACTTTTCATTGTCTAGAGGCCATGGTTATCAGGCTACATTTCCATATGGATTTTGACCAACAATCATAAACAACAGAGAACCTGCTCATAAACAACCTGAAGGCAGTGAGTCAGGCAGATGGTACTTTGGGGGTGGGATGGGGAGAGTTTAAAATGGCAAGTGAGTCCTACCTTATGCGCACACTCAATGCTAAATCCCAGTGAATGAAGCATCAGTGGGGAAGTTAGGGTTTTACTCAGATTCCAGATGAGTTTAAAGTCTGATGTTTTGATGCTTTAAATGTCTTGTGTAAAAGAAACCAACATTTAAAAAATAATTAGAGTCTTATAAGAGAAAAATCTTTTGTATTTGGGGAAAAACAAGAATATCAGAAGCACCGGGGACACTGTGTGCATATTGGTGGCTAGAAGGTAAAGGTGTTTATGTCTTGGCTCTTCCTGATGGCACCAGAGGGATCTTTCTATGGAGTTCTTCTGTGGGGAAGGGTAAAAATCTTAGGGAGTAAGTGGGAAATGCACAAGGGACTTGAACCTTGTTGGTAAACTCTGCAAGGGTTTTATCTTATCCAATAGAGGAACCCAAAAGTTAGATCAGTATTTATAGAGTATTAGCATGGTCAGGTTATCCTCATATAGAATGGCTGGATGATGTAGAAGGGTCTTTTTCTATCTGTTGTTTCATTGGTTGATTAATAAAGAAAACTGCTTGGCCTGATAGGTCAGAACATAGGTCGGTGGAGTAGACAGAACACAATGCTGGAAAGAAGGGAAGTGAGGGCAGACGCGATGGAGCCAGCCGCCAGGTCAGACATGCTGAATCTTTCTCGATAAGCCACCACCTCATGGTGCTACACAGATTATTAGAAATGGGTTAAGCAAGATATGAGAGTTAGCCAAGAAGAGGATAGATATAATGGACCAGACAGTGTTTAAAAGAATACAGTTTGTGTGTTGTTATTTCAGGGCATAAGCTAGCCAGGCGGCTGGGAGCTGGGTGGCAGGACGTGGCCCTCAGTTCCTCTCTACAGCTAGAGGTGTTCAAGATATCAAAGGACTGGTTAGTAGACCAATCCTCACCTCCTACATGTAACCATACAGAAATTTCTACAAACACAAACCAGTAAGAGTCTTTGTCCTCACTAATAATACATACAGGCTTTGACCACTGGGGTTAGCCTAGGGCGTAGCTATCTGTATGTACCCGATGAGTCCATCCTGCATACACAGGTTATGTTAGCCTAGTGATTCTTTCTTGACCTTCAGCACCAAGAATATTGAAACTTAGCATTGCTTGATTGTTGTAATAGGAGCGGCAGGGCTGTGTCCCCATCACCCCAGCCACCTGCTAGCTTATGCCCCAAAATAATTACATGGACACTGTATTCTTTTAAACACTGCTTGGCCCATTAGCTCTAGCCCTTACTGGCTAATTCTGATATCCCGATCAACCCATCTCGAATAAACTGTGTAGCACGGTCTTACCAGGAAAGATTCAGCATGTCTGACCTGGCGGCTTGCTTCATCGCGTGTATCTGCCTCAGAGAGCAGAGCTATCGCGTCTGCCCGGGAGAGGGGAGCATGGCGTCTCTGAACTCACTTCCTCTTCCTCCCAGCATTCTGTTCTGTTTACTCCACCCACCTATGTTCTAACCAATAAAATGGGCCAAGGCAGTTTCTATTTTAACCAATGACCTTCCTCCATCACTTGATTTCCTCTCAGTGGCCATATACCACTCGTTATGTTTAGGTTTGTAAGTGCAATGTACAATCCAAAGCAGAGGGCTCATCCTTGTGTTCCAAGCTACAGGGACAGTAAACTGATGTACGTTCTTCCCACTAGGATTCATGAATGCCATTAAGATGACAGGGTAGTCTGATGGGGGTATTAACAAATATCTTATGGGCTATTAACAAAATTGATGTGTGTTGAGTGAATGATGAAATATTCGAACTTAAACTCAAATGTGTCCATTACATTTATTTAATTTTAAAATGAACTTCAGATTAAAATAAAGTAAAACTTAGAATTAATCATGAAACTGTTAAATACCGATGACAGAATTATGAATGAAAATGTATGTTCAGGTCAGTGCAAATTTATTCACTTTTCTTAAGAGCAATATCTTGGTTATGGAGAGCTACAAAGATCTCCATTGCCTCTCAGTGAGCAATCTCCAGTCTTACAAAGTTCATTTAGTGAGAAAAAAATGCAGAGAGAACTTCTGCACACACATTCTGTTCTCAATGCTGTCTTAATGTCTGAAACTGTGAATAGCTATTTACAGCCAGAGAGACATGGTAGTGAGTGACAGCTCACTGAGTAGGGCTTCAGAACCTGTCATGGGATGCTAGTCATCCTTCTCAGATATACCTGATGGGAGCTTTCACTACTTCCTACACTTTGGTGACAGCACACATGACAAGAAACAGCATGAAAGAGGAAACAGTCTGGTTCATTGTTAGTGAGGGGACAGTCTACTAGGGTGGATGGGTGAGGTGTGGTGAGCAGGTGGCTGGGAATCTTCATACAGCAAAGAACAAAGAAGCAGAGAGTAGACTGGGAGTGGGGTGGCTACTGGCTTATAACTCTCAATGTCTATCCCACCTATGTCAGTGACCCGATTCCTCAACTTGAGGGTTTTCCCCTAAATAGTGTCTCCAGATGGAGCTCAAATGTTCAAATGCTTAAGCTTTTGGAAGACAGTTCACATTCACACCACCTTGAGATGATTAGGGATTAGATCCATATATAGCCATAAAATATATTTCTGTTTCACATATACCTTGTACATATAACCTGGAGATAACTTTTTTCAAAATATTGCTCATGTACTGTAGTAATAAGAGCGGCGGGGCTGCATCCCCAGCGCCCCAGCTGCCTGCTAGCTTATGCCCCGAAATAACAACACACAAACTGTATTCTTTTAAACACTGCTTGGCCCTTTAGTTCTAGCCCTTACTGGCTAATTCTGATATCCTGATCAACCCATCTCTAATAATCTGTGAGCACCGGTCTTACCGGGAAGATTCTAGCCTACGTCCATCCTGGGTCGGAGCTTCATCGCGTGTGTCTGCTCAGGAGCCGGGAGCATGGCGTCTCTCTGAGGCGTCTGCTCCCGAGAGGAGAGCTGTCGAGTCTCTCTGAGGCGTCTTACCTCACTTCCTCTTCCTCCCAGCATTCTGTTCTGTTTATTCCACCCACCTATGTTCTAAGCTATGAGCCCAAGCAGTTTGTTTATTACTTAACCAATGAAATCAACAGATTGATATATGACAGTCCCACATCAATGTACTTCTTCATTTTTTAAATTGTGTATATGTCTATGTGTGTATGGGTACTCGAGGAGGTCAAAAGAGGGATTATGGCCTCCAAAATTGGAGATACAGGTGGTTGTGTGTCCCCTGCTCTGGTATGGGTGCTAGGAACTGGACGTTAGTTCTCTATCTGCCAAAGCAATTAAGCCCTTGTTTTAGCCAGGATTTCTATTGCTATGACAAAGCACCATGACCAAACAGCAAGCTGGAGAGGAAAGGCTCGGCTTATACTTCCATATTGTTGTTCATCATCAAAGAAAGTCAGAAAAGGAACCTAAGCAGGACAGGTACCTGGAGGAAGGAGCTGATGCAGTGGCCGTGAATGGGTGCTGCTTACTGGCTTGCTCCCTGTGGCTTGCTCAGCCTGATTTCTTATAGAACCCAGGATTACCGTCCCAGGGATGGCTCTACCCACAATGGGCTGAGTCCTCCCCATCAATACTAATTAAGAAAATGCCTTACATCTGGATCTTAAGGTGGTCTTTTCTCAGTTGTGGTTTCCTCCCTTCAGATAACTCTAGCTTGTGTAAAGCTGACATTGAACTAGGCAGCACAGCATCCTCATCCATTAATTCATCTCTCCAGTGTCAGTGCATGTGTTTTCATTGGGACCGATTGCATCAGATCCAATGCGGCCCATGTTGACATTCAAAAGTTTCAGATTTCTGAAGCCAGAATTTTTAAATTGGAAGTAATCAATTAACTTCTAATAATATTGTACAGACATTATAAGTAGAAATGTGGACTACTCTGGTATTTAATATTTGAAGTGGTTTATAAAAGTACATGTCCACCATGAATATTTAGTAGGCAAATGTATATCCACTTGTGCCTCAGTTTCTGGAGCATCCACTATATACTAGGCCTTGTGGCTAGGTGTAGGAAGCACATAGTTGGAAAGATGTGGTGATTGTTCTCCCTGAAAGGCAATCAGGTTGCGATCTAATCATAAGCACAGGTGGGAAGTGAGTCAGATGGAGGATGGGGGCACAGAAGAACCTTGAAGTTGGCTAAAGATGGAAGGAAGAGCTTTATAAAAGAGCTGGATGTGCAAATTAAAAAAAAACAACAGACAGCTCAGTTGCATGAGTGTGGAACTATTAGGAATGATGCAAACATTTGATCCTTCTTTCCGATGTCATCCATGACTATACATGTACCCACCCATGTATGTCTTAAGGTCTCAATTACTCAGAGTCGAACAGCCAATACCCCAAGCCAAGTGTAGAGCAGTTTTACTACAGAAAGGTAATTTCTTCCAATGGTCCATGTTCTTATAAAAAAGGAATCAAGGCAGAAAGGTATAAAGACCTCTTTGTTGCTGGTCTATTATAAATGGAAAAGCTTCATGTAGTACACGAAATAAGCCATACACATGCTCTTGTGCCTTTAATTTTTAATTTTATTGGTGACAATGCAAACAGGTACATGAACATCTCCACTGTCTCTACACACGTATTTAAATAAGACAAGAGTTCTAAGATTTGGATTTCAGTGATGACTAGAACATTATTACTTTACTGTATAAAATTCTCCAAGTTTACAAAATCTGCTCATTTCCCCATGTCTTAGATATAAAAGAAAACAGCTGCAAGAACTAGAAAAAAGAACTTAATGAAGAGAAACACCCATAAGCTCCTGGTGAAGCCCAGCACACGAGTTATGAAGGACTCAGCAATGTTGTGAGCATTGTTGTATACTAGTGTTCTCTGTGAGGTTGGTGTGTTTCAGAACACCCCACCGGAGGCTTCCCCTGACCTCAGTTTTCTGTGTGCAAGTGGATGACAACCCGCTGTGTACTTCTACAGTGGACACAACGGGAAGCCATGTTTTCCGTTTGATATCCCCATATCTTTTCCTGTGTTGGTCCCATCTTCCCCCTGACATGTCTAGTTTCTCCCATTAGGCTGTATAAACTGTCTCCCCCAAACCCGATATTTAGCTCTAAGAGTTCTCTGAGTTCCTTCATTGGTCCCACATCAGGAATGACAAAAGTTAAGTCATTATGTAGTGTAGAGAGAGCTGTTTGTCATCCCTCAAATTATATCATATAGATGGCTGTCTGCCTATGAAACTGGTTCTACCAAAAAGACGAACAGTGACGACAACTGCAGAGGCTGGTATGGAACTCTCAAAACTCGTTGAGGTAAGTGCAATGCTGCCCATACACTAATCACACAGACTGGGAGCTAGATGTGGGCTCCTGACAGACATGAACCAGCTACCGGGACAGATTTAATTGACAAGCAGGGGATGATGAACAGCAACGATATTTGTCTCTGTGTCTTCCACTTGCTTTCCAAGGAACTTTGGCAATTGAAGCCAAGTGGCTCCTTGCCAGGTTAAGGTACCACATAAAATTTACTGTCTGTGAGTTTGGCTCATCTTTCAAACAAAGTGTCATTGCTGAAATTGAGACACAGATTTTCAAGACTGCTCTGTAAAGGTTAGGATTTTGGTCAGCTTGTTGTATCAGACTTCGTATTCAGGATATTAATTAAAAAAAACTAATGCCAGTGTAAACATTCCTCAGATACATAGGTCTTTTATATATTGCACATAAAATTTTGTTCAGCATTTCTCCATAGCAATTTTTCATTAGTATATAAAGGATATAAAATTGTGCAGATCATCATACGCATTTGGCTGGTCAATATTACTTCAAAATGGTGACATTACAAATGATCATGGATTGTTTACAAGAGATTTAAGCAACATTTTCTGGATGACTAAGTAAAGATGATGGTAAAATAGCTTAAGTATAGAAGATTATTTTCAAAGATTACATTCTAGGGAAGATTAATAGTAAGGAGTGGGTAATGAAGCTTTAAAAATATTGTTAGGTCCTTAGGAGTGAGTTTCCGTTTGCCTCACACATGTATAACTACATATATCTCCATCTGATTTATACTCAACACATTTTCTCTTTTTTATAGGCATGAGATATTACAACAAAAGCAGGTGTGTAGATCCCAAGCTAAATAATGGTGTGTAAACTATTAAAATAAGATTCACCAATATTGCTAAATTGCTTTTTATATGGACTCTACAACTTGCGCCCGTACTTTCAAACACCATCAGGGTAGTGAGTACCTTGAAATGAATTCTTTAAAGAAATCAGTGGAAATAGTTTTTTACATGTACAAAAAGAACTATAAATACAAAATTTTGTGTTGAATTATGCAGATGTGAGTTCCTCTAGAGCACGAAGAAAGGTAACTCCAGGTAGCAGGCAGCAAGATATTAGCAAAACTGACCCCTAATACCAATGTGTGTGTAACACCATCTAACACACTAAGAAGCCCAATTAAACATGTTATCTTCACGGAGTAGTTGTCTCAAGAAGAAATAAGTGGAATGATGTTGAAATCTAGCCAACTAAATCTTAATTTTGATATCCTCTAGATGGCCTGATTCTCTACTTAGAGAAATGGAAAATAAATAAATACATTTTTTTTTTGTTCTCACTTAACTAAATGATCTCTGTTGTTCCACAAGTACTTTCACAGTCCTGACAACACATTGCTTGTCTCCCTGAGCCATTGCATCCTTAGAAAGGCTGCTCTTCTGTAGGGAGGTGTCAGAGAGTCCATTGGGTTACAGTAGTGTTTAACCTTAGTTCATCTTATCTCTGTAGGAATCAGTTTTGAAAGTCACATTGGGCTGATTTGACAGCCGTCTGAGTTTCCACAGCCATTCCAAACTCTCAGCCAGATGTGAAATGGTGAAAGCAACAGGAATTGTCACAACTGCTGGTTGTTTCTACAGTGTTGGGGGTTTCTTTTCCCACAGGGTTCTCTGTGTTCCGTGCCCATGCGTGGAGCAGACAAGGTGATCCTTAGGCACCTTCCATTCCCTAGGTCACTGGCACGTAGGAAGGCTCTGATCATTTTGCAGTCATGTCCCTTCTTTCTTTGAACAGGACCAGTGTTTGAATTTTAGGGCTTCATGTTTCCAAGTCATGCCTCCGGTGTCTTGTCGCTGGTCAGTTGTTCCCTGTCTGTCATTTCATCCTGAGGCGGTCTTGCTCTATCAAAGAAGCCACACTAGGAGAAAGAAAAATCAAGTCATCTGGAGAGTGTGTGAAATACCTTATTTAAGGAATTTGCATTCTAGACATTTTATAAGAAACCTGGGATATGTGAACTATCTGTCTAATTGTCCAAATTAAGAGGGAAAATCGGAGTGTTGGTTACTGGTGGAGAGAATTCACTGCCTGGACAAGGTTGGCAATGCATCCGTTGCCTTCCTCCCGCCACACAGGAAGTAGTGGCAGGATGTCTTCATTTTACAGATGCCACTCACAGGCCTTAGCTATATCCCATCCTGTCACTAGTGCACTAAGGATCCTTCTGTCTTTCTGCATGCTTCCCTCATGGTGCCCCACAGTTGACCTGACACGTGTCGTTCCCTGTGGTGTTCTGTAGGGTACTTAGGACACATCATAGGGAGACATTGTTGCCTGTTCTTCTGGACTTGGCAGGACATACGGTGTTTAGAGGAAGGTCCAATTTGTGATTTATGTCAATAACAGCACCAGGCAGGATGGGACATTCTTGTGACTTTCTACAGATTTACCAGTACTCTGGTAAAGATGGCTCCAGAACCATCTTTCTATTGAATTTCAAATTAATATTTAACCCCAGAGGATGCTTATTTTCCCAGAACCCTAGAATTATTATTTATTGTTTCTCATGTGGGAAGCACAGAAAGAGTTTCTTTGCAAGACTAGTAGGGTACTCTCTCATTTGGCATATAGAGTGATATCCAGTTACCATAAAGAGCAGAACAATGCTGAAGTTATCTCTACACGTTTGACAGTGACTGGATGGGCTATTCCTATCTCTCAAATAAAATCACCTCCCCCAAAAACTTCAGTGTGGAAGCAGTTTACCCCTCATCTTTCACAATATTATCTTCACACACATTAAATTCCAAAACAAAATAGACACAATCTTCTTCTGTCCTAAAGATCATCAAAATCAGCAATTTACAACTTTATTGTTATATTTAATACTTTCCAACAATATCTTTTCACCCCCTCAATGGCTTCTGAACCCCAAAGGAAAAGCAAAGGAAGCTCGCTTACCTTCCATAAAGCTAAAGTTAAGATGGCCAGAACCAGCAAGCCAAGAAGGATTGCTAGTATTATGACCCACAGTGGAATTGAGAAGGACACATTCGGAGTGGCCCAGATGACCGACGTCTTAATCTGAAAAGAAAGCAAAGCAACTATCTGATGAGATGAGCAAGAACTGCCAGTTTGCTACTGAAGATCATTGCAAAGTGATGCTCATAACATCTGAAGGAATTTGAGGCGATATTAGGAGGTCATAGTGACTGAATGCGGGCTCTCTAAAACAGACACACACCCATGCCTAGGAGGCTACATGAAAATCTAATAACATATACTTGTTGGGTGGTGACCTTTAATCATGGAACCCTAGACTGAAATCCAGGTAAATGTGGACCTCTACGCAAATAAAGGGCTACGAGCATTGACTTCATCTTCATGTAAGTCAGCTAATCTCACCGAAAGGTGAATTTGTGAACAATCATGAAATATTAGATATTCAAGAGTTCATGTCACTAGTTAATGTCAGTACTGGATCTCTTCCTCTGTAGACTTTGTGATCTGGTACTAAATGACAGTTGAGAACTTTAGGCTAACCACCATGCATCCATCCTTCTTTCTCTCCTTCCTTCCTTCCTTCCTTCCTTCCTTCCTTCCTTCCTTCCTTCCCTCCTTCCTTCCTTTCAGCAGTTGTCTCCATAGAACCTTGTGAATTCATTGACTAGAACTTCGGTTGTCAGAATTGGCAGCATGCACTCTTACCCAGTGAGCTATCTTGCAAGCCCCTAGCTTGCATTTTTATGGAATAACTTAATGTAAAAATAACAGAATGAGAGTGAAGCCACTAATGTAAGTTCTAACAAACAGGAATAAAGAAAGGCAGTATGAAGGAGGGTTTTTATGAATGACTGCTTGATGGTAATCAGTAACAAAGATTCTGCTGATGGGGGAGAGGAGGTTAGAGAGATTGTTCAATGGCTAAGAGCACTTTCTGCTCTTGCAGAGGATAGGATTTTGACTCCCAGCATCTGAAACTGCCCATAAATCCAGCTCCAGGAGATGTGACTTTCTCTTTTGACCTCTGCAGTCACCTGCACACAAATGTTCACATACCCATACACATAAATAAAAAGAAAATCTTAAAAAGAAGATTCTGTTGAGATCAAAAAGGCCACTTCAACGCGCGCGCGCGCGCACACACACACACCATACCATGCAATACCCACACACTACAGTTCTGTAAAGTTATCTGCCCATCAACTATCTGATAAATTTAAAATAACATTAGTTACTCTCATTAATCCCTAGACTCATAATTACTGTTTCAAAATATCTTCATCCTTCTCATTTTTGCATAGGGTCTAGCAAGAGGGAAGACAAGGACCTACAACTAATATACTCCTTTTGTAATAACTTGTATGCCTACACACACACACACACACACACACACACACACACACATTTACAAACTATTTTCCTTCCCTTAGCTTCTCCAATTACCTTCAGTTTGCTATAGCAAATGTATCCCCATTGCAGTGCTGTTCTACTCCCTACTAAACTTCATTATTTGTAGGAGACACTCTGATGGTTGTTTAGATCGATGCTGTACTGTGTAAAGTGGTGTGGTATTATTCTCATGGGTTTGGGCTGCCTTCAAGCTCAAGTCCAATTTTCATGGACAGAGCTGGAGAAACACCTGGAGACGATAGGAGCCCATGTCATTCCCCCCTGCTGGAAAGATTCCTGTAGGAAAATGAGGCCCACACGGTCAGAAGAAGGATCTCTCTTGCTCCAGAGCTGGGAGTCTGGGCAAGGAAGCTACAGACCCCTATGTAAAGTGGAGAAGACTAATTCATGCCACTGAGAGCTTTGCTCAGAGAAAATAAAAATACAGAATATCTTGGAACTGACTATTATCTACCATGCTTGATTTAGGTGTCTGGCTTTACAGTAATAGACATTGCTTCCTTTAAATTGGTCTATATGCTCTTCATTTTAAATACATTTATTGAACGTATTTAACATAGAAACTACCTGAGAACTCTAGACCACAATCCTAAAGGGAATTGTGAGGGAGACTCATGGCTAGTTGGTAGCTGTGAACTGGTATGGCAGGAAATAACTGGGCATTTTCATCACTGGAACGTAATATTGGGCCCTAACCAGACCCATGTATGTATGTATGTATGTTTGTATGTATGTATTGTGAGTTTGTTCTGCCTTCTCAACTAGCTATGACCTCTGCCAATGTTCTGCTCAGTTCTTCCTGGTTCTATTGTTCCTCCCATCTTAATCCATGCCCCAATCTAGCAGACAAATAAATGGATTATGTGTCCTTCACCAGGTGACCTCCCCACCTGGTCATTGTAAGCTTTAATGGACTGTGTCAAAAGTCAGTCTGTCTGTTGAAAGAAGCATGAAAGACCCCCACAAAGATCAAAGAAAGATACCTGAAGGACTTTCTCTCTTACAACAGTAGTGAGTAAGTGCAGTTCAAGCATGGGATGGACACGTGTTCTCAGCAGGGGCGTCTAAACCAGGGAGCAACTCTCGTGGTTCTTGGCTTATATTTGTTTCCAGAGATTCTGGCAGCCATGCCTTAGGCATTGCGTGGGAGATGATCACCACGTGGTAATCCAAAACTCTGAAATCCTCGTTTGGTTCCAGAATTCTGAATTTCTCATTATCAAAACTGTGGCCAGCCTGCTTCCAGGAAGAGTAGGTTTATTTTAAAGCTATCACTTCCTCCCATCCCTCTGAGTCCCCTAAAGTGTATGTTTCTTGCTTAGCCCCATTCAGTTCATGAAGGGGAAGGGATGGAAGGCCTCGAGGGACTCTGAGGGCTTCCCTCTGCCTCTGATACAATGGCACAGTCTAAGGTTGGCGCAGCTGAGGACCCCTGTCCACCCTGGTGTCTTCCTAAGATGACCTGGTATTTATGCTTCACAGTTAGAAGCCGTAACACCAGTGTTAGTGGACAGGCAGGCAATGCAGAGTTAACAGAGAGTGACCGCAAAGAGCCCAACACCACGCCCCATTGGGAGAGCTCTATGCCTTGGAACGAAGGGAACCCGGTAACATTTTGACCTGTGACTCCACCGTCATGGTGGGCCACTAGCAAAGCACAGCTCTTCCTGAGACTTGCTGCTCTGCGGAGATAAATGAGAGACTTAAATTGTATGCGGCTTAAAAGGAAACAGTTTAACTGGTCACTTTGGTAGGACCTATGTTTGTTTATATTCATGGTAGTGGGGAAGTGGAAGATAATTTTGGAGATATTTGAGTAAAAATAAAGTACTGACAAACACCAAAACTTGGTCATTTCCAGTGCTTATACATCTTGACAGCCCTTAGGAAGCTTAGCTTAGAGTATCCACAGGCTCAAAACTGATGAGAAAGTGCAAGCCGGGCGGTGGTGGCGCACACCTTTAATCCCAGCACTCGGGAGGCAGAGGCAGGCGGATCTCTGTGAGTTCGAGACCAGCCTGGTCTACAAGAGCCAGTTCCAGGACAGGCTCCAAAACCACAGAGAAACCCTGTCTCGAAAAACCAAAAAAAAAAAAAAAAAAAAAAAAAAAAAAAAAGTGCACCACAGATGAGGTTTCTTATGACTGCGATTTATGCTGAGAAATGTGTGTTTATATCAAATAATATAAAACACTCATATTCTCTGAACCTCTGTAGGACTTATCAGCTGTGAACTTGGTCTTTCTCAATGCTGCCCAATAGAAATATTAGACATCTGTGAATTCAAATTTTGTATCAGTCACATTTAAAAAATGAGAATAGGAGACATTAACTTTAACAACATGCTGTTAAAACCCAAATATCAAGTACTACCTGTTAATACAAATTTAATATCATTTAAACGTGCTATTGATATTTTAAAAAGTAAATTATTTCTTACATTCTTTTTGATTGTTTCCAAAGTTCAGTTGCTCTGAACACAGGCCGCATGCAGCAGCCGCAAAGGTTTCAAGCACTAGAGTGAGATGCAGCCTTGCGACACTAACTGTGCTTAATGGAAAGACATTTGTATGACGCCAGATCTTCCCGCTCCCGTTTTAGAGAACGGAGATGCAATCAAGTTATGAGCTTCTTCCGCAGCCCCACATTTATGGAACTCGGACTCTACACGCCTGGCATTGTCCATGTGACACAATGGTGAGGTCAGCTGATCCATCCAAACCCTCATTGTAGGATTTGTCTGGCTCAGAGCAGAGTACACAGCACACAGTGCGCGAGAGCTTACTTTAGGCTTGTGCTGGAAAGAGGCCCTTGTGCCTGATGACCAGAGTGCAATCCTTGGATTCCACAAGGTGGCAGGAGAGAACCAGCTCCTGGGTTGTCCTCTGACCCCATTAGGTTCCATTAGGTTCATGCCTGCACGCATGAGTGTGTGTGTGTGTGTGTGTTTGCGTGTGCGCGCGTACATTCTCTCTCTCTCTCTCTCTCTCTCTCTCTCTCCCCCTCCCTCCCTCCCTCTCTCTCTCTCTCTCTCTCTCTCTCTCTCTCTGTCTTCCCCCTCAAAAAATTGAATGATTTATTTCTAGACACCAGGCTTCTGATACAATGGTTAATATTGAGTAACTAGAGAACTTAAGATATAGTGGGGAGTCCAATTGCCAGCCCACAAATCAACTATCTGCTTTTTATATATTTTTGCTTATCAGGAACTTGAAGCTATTTAAAGAAATAGTATAAAAACTTAGCAACTCACTTATTATCTTTATCTGTGGCTTTAGGAAGTGGAATCGATAAATTATAAGCAGTTGGATTTTCTCAAAGGGATCCTGAGCAGGGACCATTTAATTTTACCTCCATCAAATCATAAATCTTGCTGTTCTTTATTATGGTTGAAAGACTATAAATAAACTTCAGTATGTCTACATTCTATCATTGATATTTATGGCATATTTTTGGGTATTTTGATGAGAAAACACCAAGGTGGGAGGAAACAGCTTCCTTGTGTTTGCGACTGTAATTAACATTACCATGTGTGCTTACATATCACAACATCTTATGCAAACACACTGCAATGGGGGCAGGCGAATGTTTCAATAAATGTACCAAGATGCTTTACCTCCAACGCCATTTAGAGCAGAACAGAAACACAAAGGGGAACAGCTGAGCACACAGTTAAGAGCCCTCTGCATCATGCTATTCCGCCGGATGTCTGTGCTCCAAAGACACCATCTCATTCAAGAATTCTGTTCATAAATGTTGAAGTTTTGTGAAAAAAAATCTGAAAATGAAGTGTATTTGCAACTTCCAGGAGAGATTTTTTTACATAAGTATTTTTGCGAAATAGTTTATAATAAAAATCATTTTTACATTTATACTAGACAACAATCCTTTTCTCCTAGGTGTAAATTGTGGAAATGGGTGTTTGTTGAATAACATGCAAATGCCTATGTTTCAATAGTCCGTCAAAAAAAAAAGGATTCATGTAATTGAATAATCTCTTTCTTTTTTTCCTTGTGCTGTGATGACTTAAGATGCATTGGTATTTCTCTAAACCCCTGCCTCACCTCTGAGAGGAGTTCGTGTGTTACCAATTCAGATGCTGCGTGAATGGCAGGCAGGGACTATTTCCTACACAAGCAGAGCTTACTTAAAAGATACGGCTGACTTATGACCACGTTGAAAAGGAAGTACAAACCAACCAACCATCCCACACAAGAGTCTAGGAAAACAATCATATATCAACTTCTCACTACAAAGTCTTCCCAGTGTCCAGATGGACATTGGCTGCTTCTCAAGTGACTGATTAAACCACTGTACAGCAGTTCTCTCTGGTGGGGCTCTTTCTGGGAGGAAAAATGGAGAGACCTTTAGAACTTTCTCAACAAGATGTCTGCCCCCTCCAGCCAGAGTTCTCTCTAAGCCACAGGGAGACCAGACCAATTCCCTACACTGAACAGCTAACTAGGTACTGGCAAGGTCTTCCCCTGTGAGTCAGATACTGGGAGACTTGAAAGCAGTTCCCTTGCTAAATGTTTTTCCAATAACCTCTACCTAAACGATGCGGTAAATCTTCGTCATCAGATAACGGATCTTTCTTTCGTTTTTAATACGGTAACGGATGGTGCCGTGGGAGGAAGCATGCATTTGATCATTTCATGCATCTTTTGAGATGAGTTGAGAACAGCAGGCTGTCACCTGTAACCAGCCCTGAAGGATGCGATCCTGTTGATGGAATCGACTGGAACATGTGTTTTTGTTATGAAACACGTGCTCCAAGAAAACAAAAGGGGTCTGGATTTATCTCCCTGAGAGCTGCAAGTCTTTGAACCTCCTTGGATGAACACTCTGTATTAAAAGCCCTAAGCCTCTGTATGCTGGGTTGAACATAAATCCAGGCTGTAGCAGACAACTTGTGAGAGAAAGAGAAGTGACCTAAATGAAGAAAGATGTGGCCACGCTGACTTTAAAACCCGCTGCTCAAATCTTTATTGTCATTTCCAGTGCGGGTTTACCAGACGTAGAGAGAGACGAGAAGACATTTGGGGATGATATTAACATTTATTGAGACTGGAGACTTAATTATCTCTTGCAAACCACTGAAAGTTTGATTATGTAACTTTATTAATTATCTCAACAATTTCATATGATAGCTATGGTTTCAAATTAGATTGAAGGGCTTCAAAGCCTTTGCTTTTCCTCTTAGTGCTCTGTGGCGTTAAATCTCTCAGCCTTGGCTCCCCCTGAGGAGCCTCCTGTAAGGGCTGTAAATCAATCGCAGGGCCCTGCCCCAGCCTATTTAGTCCAGATGCATGGAGAGAGCGCTCAGGATGTACACGTTTCTGCATGCATTTAAAGTTGCATGAGTAAATATTCATATTTATACTGTTTACTCAAAGTTGAGACTGGAAGAATAATCAACAGATAATTCGTTTCATTTATTTTTGTAGTGTGTGTCTATGAGTGTGTTTGTGAGCAGACGCATGTGCATGTGTGTGGAGACAACTTTGGGTGTTACTCCACCTTTGCTTTTATTTTTCTTTTGCGACAGGGTTTCTCACGGGCCTAGAACTGGTAAGGTAAGTGAGACAGGCTGTACAGGGAGCCTGAGGCCTGGTGAGGCTGTCTCTACCGCCTCAGTGCTGGGAGAACAGGTGTGCACCATCAAGCCCAACACCTTTTATTTTATTTTGTACTCGGTGTATGGGCGTTTTGCCTGCATATATGACTGGTGTCCACAGAGGCCAGAAGAGGACATCGAGTTCCCTGGAATGGGAGTTACAAATGGATGGTGTGAGCTACCATGTGGTGAGACTCGGTCCCCTGGAAAAGCAACTAGCACTCTTAACCACTGAGACATCTCTCCAGTCGCCTTTTCCTTTCAAAGGGTGCGACTCCAGATCCTGGCCTCATGCTTGCAAGACAAGCAATTTACTGACTGAACTATTTCTTCAACCCCTAATTCTATAGTCAAAGGTTAATTAGGCTGCAAAGATGAACCATTACAGTGAGATGGAAGACCAGGGCTGGAAATGGATGGATGACAAAGGGATCAACTATGTAGATTCTAAAGGCGTGCTTCCCAAACCTGCCCGTGTGGATGTCCTGGTAATTTTGATTCAATACACGCTTAGAGTGAAGCTTGCGTCTATATTTCTAACCAGCTCTCAGAAGATGTCTGGGATCCTGGTTTACAAGTCACATTTTGAATAACAAAGGCCTAGGGATTCAGAGTTCAAACTGGAGACTGGAAATACCCACTGATAACTAAGTAATGAGGCTTGAAACTATAATATAAGTTTGTTTCAAGACAGGATCTCACTACATCTCCCTGGTTGTCCTGGTAACATTAGGCAAACCAGGCTGAACTTGGACTCACAGAGATCTACCTGCCTCTTCCTCCTGAGTGCTGGGATTAAAGGTGTATGCACCATGACTGGCTTTAATATTGCTATTAGGAGAACTGAGTTTTTCAGGGTTAGATGGTTTTTGTAAGGAACCATAAAGGCAAAGTTTTATTACCCATACTACTGGTGCTCTCAATGATGTTCTTCCCATCTTTGCATGGGTTTGCCACATTCCTGAAGATGTCAAAAACTGTTCTGTGGCTTCTATGATGTTTAATAGTCTCGATCTTAGAAAGCAATATTTGGTCAACTGAAGCTCATATTTCCCCCACCTCTCATCTCAGAATTGCTCTTGGCACAAAAAAGACAGAGAGCTTTAAAAGTTTGCACTGGTCTGGGGAAGTTTCCTCTCTCCCTACCAGACTCTTCATGCTGTTATCAAAATCAAAAACTCAGTATGATTTTGCTATGAGCACTATTTCTATTGGAATGTGTTTCTCTGAAACAGAACAACTGACTTAAAAAGTGCTGTATAGTGTGAGTTTTTTACCTGTAGTTTTTAATGTAGAAATGTATGTGAAAAATTAATAACTGGATCAAAAGGCACTGGGGAATTTCTAGAATGAAAGAAAAAATGGTGGGATAAAGAGGAGAACAATATTCACTAATTCATGTAAATGTTTTAACCAAGCCCAAGCTGAACAGTGCTCTAGAAGTAACTTTATCATTTGTGTCTCTTAAAGAGATACTCACTGCTATACTCCCGGTGGGGAGTGTCGCTGGCTGGTCTTTATAGGGCATCTTCCTCACTGCAAAGGACACCAGGGATGCAAGAGCATAGGGATCATTCTTTCTCTGAAAGGAAAAGCATTTATTTAAATGTATGTCCTTGAAAACTCTTTAAAATACTATTACATAATCAGTTGTTTTCAGAGTTTCTATGTCCAGTACAATTTTTTCTTCTTTTTTCTGTCCTTCTTTTATGTCATCCATCCATCCATCCATCCATCCATGCATCCATCCATCCATCCATCCATCCATGCATCTATCCATCCATCCATCTATCCATCCATCCATCCATCCATCCATCCATCCATGCATCTCTCCATCCAACTATGATGCTTTTATCCATCCTTCCAAATGTGTCTGTAAATTTATCTTTCCTCTAAATATCCATCCCATCCATTCAAATATTCAAATATTTGACTACCCTGTTTTTAGTTATATACATTTAATAACCATTTTAAACTTTTATTTTACATATATGTATACACACACACACACACACACACACATATATATATATACATATATTTGATTTTTTTTAAAAGATAGAATCTCACTATGTAGCCTGCCTCTGCCTCCTGAGTGCTTGAGATTTAAGGAATGTGCCACCATGCCCGGTTAAGATATATTTTGTTAGTATAATATTTGTGCCTAAGTTTAAGAGGAACCTGCTCTAAGGAAATTCTGGTTCTAAAAAAGAGTAAGTACAAGGATTTTCTGGAGTTACTGCTGGTAACAGGGACCCACAGGGATTACAGGTGCTTGTTCCCCGAAAGAGGAAAGTCCTGGTGACAACTTGTAGAGAAATGTTTCCCATCTCGTGTCACACAGAAGATCCCAAGCAGGGATGCTCAGTCTCGGTGCTACCGAGGCTGTGGGCATGTCTGGAGTTGCCCTGTGCACTTGAAGGTGTTTACCACAGCCTCCGCCTTCTCCCTGTTAGGTGTTCCAGTTGTGGGGATTGGAATGCTCCTGGGGGCTAAGGAAACTCTGAAATCCTGAGGTCAGTTGTTAAATCACAGCATAATAGATAAATAAACAGGACACGGGGTGGGAGGGAGATACATTGGGAAGGATTCTGGGGGGGGGGTTAGAGGGAGAAGTACGTAGTCAATATGATCAAGATACATTATATACATGTACAAAAATTTCAACATAAGTAAAGTATTAAAAATTAAATTATATAGATTAACTTACGTTTATAAAAATTTAACAGTTAAAAGTCAATTCTGTTTAACTATATTTTAAATTGCCAACGTTACTAATATTACATGTGTCTACTTCATTCCTAAAGGAAAACGTCATACAGTGATGTCTGCTTGGGCATCTCTTCCCAGCACCCGTATCTTCTAACATGGTGCTGGCATGCTAAAAGCGGTAGGACCATTTTTATCATGGAAAGTGGCAAGTGTTATATCACAGAGCCCTTGACTCCTCCCAGACATCAATATTCAGTACATCAAACAGTTACCAGCACATCCCCACCTAAAACACAGTTTTGGGCCTCTTGGAACCAATCCTACTATTTGGATTGTAGAAATTTTGCTCAAATCTTTTTACAGGTTAAGTTTTTCCTATGAATGAATTTTTCTCCCCTAGTAAACGCTACTTTTTATACACAATAGGCACAGACCATGAAAGGAAACTTTTATGTATTTAGAAATAACTATATCTTTTTGTTTTCTTTCTAATTGTCTAATTTCTAATAGAATACTTCCATTCATTTGAAACAAATTATGTTCAAGGTGTCATTCTTTGATGGCCTATTCTTGGCTGTCTTTTTTATTTCAGCTAAAGGTTGTATTTTTTAATTTAAGAGTTAAAACTTTATAAAATGTGGAGATATTTGCTAGCACTTGATGGTTTTCATCTAAGTTCCTCACACAGGAAGCACTCACTCCAGTAATGAGATACCATGATTTTACACTCTGTAGCCAAAGCTCACCTGGATCTCTTGCTGTAGCCTAGACTAGCCTCAAACTGAGGGTAATCCCCCAAATTCAGCCTCAGGCATGTCTATGGGTAAGAATTGTAAACCCATACTCCACGGTGTCCAGGCCTCTAAACTTGCTCCAGTTAGGGTTTCTATTGCCACAATAAGACACCAAGGACAAAAACAACCCAGAAAATAAAGGATTTATTTCATCTTATAGGTCACACTCCATCTTGCAGAGAAGTCAGGGCAGAAATTTAAAGTTGGAACCCAGAAGCAGGAACTGAAGAAAAGCCATGGAGGAACACTGCTTATCACTTGCTCAGCCTGCTTTCTCACATAACCCAGGACCTCCTGCGTGGGGAGGAAGCACCCACAGTAACCTGGTCCCACGCACATTATCATAAATCAAGGAAATGCCCCACAGACTTACCTATGGGCAGTCTCATGGAGGCATTTTCTCAATTGAGAGTCCTTTTCCTAGATAATTCCAGCAGTTTTCAGACTGACTAAAACCTAACCTAACCAACACAATGAAGAAGCTTTCAGAGCTGGGAGTGGAGGTGCATGCCTGTGATCTCAGTCTGGGCCATTTAAGAGTTTGAAGCTAGTCTACCAGTCAAGGCTGCAAGGACTTGTCTCAAAACAAAACAGTACAGAATTTGGAGAGGCATATCAAAGGAACTCTAACTTCTGTGATAGACCCTTGCCTAGCATGCTGAAAGCTCTGGGTTCAATCCCTGCACTGCAAAAACCCAACCAAAGAAACAAAGCCAAAAAACCCAAACCAAACCAAAACGAAACTAAAAAACAACCAAAAAAAAAAAAAAACCCAGATAGCCGTTTTCACTGGTTATGTTTGTTCATACCTATAATTAAAGGTAAGAGGATGAGGCAGGAGGATTGCTGTGATTACAAGTCATCCTGGACTACATAGTAAGTGTGATTTAAAAAAAAAGTCTCAAAAAAACCAAAATGTTTTCATTAATCTTCAAGTTCAATAAAAACTTGGTAGAAAATTAAATTATAGTACTAGAAGCCATATCTTCAGTAAACAAGTTTAGCAAGAGTTGCATCTCTGCATGGATTCTAGACAGAGAGGTTTTCTTTTATTGCTTGTAGATTTAGGAACAGGAGCTTCTTGATACATTAAAGATGTGGTTTGATAGTGTCTTCCAGACAAAATGGGACTGCTGCATATATGAATTCACAGAGGCTAGTGCACAAGACCAGCTCAGGTTCAAGTTAGATGGGATCCCAGCACTGAGCAGGGAAGTGAACACAGGGTCCCAGTAGATGGGATCCCAGCACTGAGCAGGGAAGTGGACACAGGGTCCCACTCCAGCCGAGAAGCAATCTGCTATTGACACCTGCCAGCAAATGGAAAATCAGTTTTCTCCAATGGAGTCTCACTGGGTAGATAGTCTGCACCTTCTCCTTTTGTTAATCCCACTTTTTGTCACAGCTGGACCCCTCAGATTGTTCATTTATTTCCATTCGTTACTCTTGTCTCACTGATCCACAAACCACTGGAATTTTCTGGGTCTTTGAGAATGCCTGAGATCTATGTCAGAGGTTCTGAATCTGTCTTCAATGAAACTGTATTTGAAATGTAGTATTATATTATTATATCATAGCAAATATATTTAGATTTTAAGTTTTATATTGTGGTTCATAATTTTCTATTTTCCTGTTTTATAGTCATGATCCACAGAATGATATCTGGACCACATGTACAGTGGCGACTCTCCAAGTTATATTGCCTCATAGTACCACGGCTGCCTTAATCTCACTGAGTCTGCTTTACGTTGTGTGCTCAGTAACAATGCTGCTCGTGAACCTCTTAGAGGTATTAGCCATTAACAGACGTTCAGTAATAACATCACCGCTCTGTCTTCCCCAACTTGATGACACAAACTGGAAGGCTTACCCTGCAGAAATATAGTGAACCACAAACTAACCACCGCATGAAATGATGTACAAGTTATCTGATGGCCTTTGAGATCTTCATATGATAAATTTGTTGGCCTCTCACAACGATAGGGTGAGGTTTCCCAGTGATTGATTACACTTGGTGCTGTTCTAGGTTTCCCAGTGATTGATTGATTACACTGGGCAGTGTTCTAGGTTTCCCAGTGATTGATTACACTTGGCGCTGTTCTAGGTTTCCCAGTGATTGATTACACTTGGCGCTGTTCTAGGTTTCCCAGTGATTGATTACACTTGGTGCTGTTCTAGGTTTCCCAGTGATTGATTACACCGGGCAGTGTTCTAGTACCCTCCCTGCTGCTGTGATACTGACTGAAAGTAATTTCTGGGAGGAAAGGGTTGAGTTACACTTCTGGGGCATAGTCAATCACTGTGGACGTTGTGAAGTCAGATCGGGAACTCAGACAGGAGGTGTGATTGTAGGACTGCAAATCCAGCATGCCGAGTCAGAGGCAGCAGATCAGAGGTTCAAGGTTCTTCTCTGCTATACAGGGAGTTTGAGATCTGCCTTACTACCCGAGGTACTGTCTCCAACAAAAAACGACACGAGACAAATCTCTTCTGCACATACTGCTGCACTACAGAGTGTCGGCTGAAAAACTTCACATAACTTCAGACTGCTGTTACTCCTTAGAAGTACACTGTTCCTTGTCCACACCACATCATTTAAGCTGTTGTTAGCAGTTCATTGGCTGGCTCTAGCATGCAGTGTGTGTGTGCGTTCATGCATGAGTTTGTGTATGGTGTGTGTGTGTGTGTGTGTGTGTGTAAGACAAAGATCCACTTTGCTTGTTTTTTCTTAGGGTCTGTCAACTTTGGTTTTTGAGTCAGGGTCTCCTGGGACCTGGGACTCAGCAGTTAGGCTAGGATGGCTGGCCAGTGTGCCTCAGAGATACACTTGAATCCGAGGGGTGGGGTTATCTGAGCAAACCACCATGTCCTGTTTTTCACTTGGGTTTTGGGGGATGGAAATTAGGTCCTTGTACTGATGTGTCAGGCACTGTACTGGCTGAGCTGTCTTCCCAGTCAGTTGGTAAATACTTTTTCACTATGGTTTCCTTATGGTGCTAATCAAAGTTACGGGGTCGGCAAACTACTGGGAAAGGAGGCTTCTGGGCTTGATAAATACCAATATCGAGAGCTTTCT